AAGAAAATAACATTGTTTTTGACAACACTCTGTAGTTTTTAAACATACCTATTGTATTTATTTGGCATGTGTTTGTTTATCTTTTTTGTCATGATTTTAATATGATAAATTATTAGATTTTTTTTAGGTATAAATAAAAGCTAAATAAAATCATTATTGTTTATATTATATGCATATTTACAAAGGGAAGTGTTATACTATGTACTCTGAATTTAAGCAAAATAGTTCAATTTCATTTCATTCATTCGTTCGTAGTACAATAGACCGCCAGTCATTCAAACAGACAGACAGACAGGCAGAAAACACTTTAAACACGAAACAATATTGCGTTTTTTATTATAACACTATTTTTTTGTAAATCATAGTGGTTTATAGTGTTTTTCACATGCATTATTTGTTAAAAGTTGTTTCCGTTTCCAGAATGCTTGTTTTTAAATATAATTTACTCTATAGTCTCAATTATTGACTCGAGCATAATGTAGTCTATAGGGTAGTCTATAGTCTTGTTTATAGACTAGTCTATAGTCTAGTCTATAGTCTAGTCTATAGACTAGTCTATAGTCTAGTCTATAGTCTAGTCTATAGACTAGTCTATAGTCTAGTCTATAGTCTAGTCTATAGACTAGTCTATAGTCTAGTCTATAGTCTAGTCTATAGTCTAGTCTATAGTCTAGTCTATAGTCTAGTCTATAGTCTAGTCTATAGTCTAGTCTATAGTCTAGTCTATAGTCTAGTCTATAGTCTAGTCTATAGTCTAGTCTATAGTATAGTCTAGTCTATAGTCTAGTCTATAGTATAGTCTAGTCTATAGTCTAGTCTATAGTCTTGTCTATAGTCTAGTCTATAGTCTATTCTATAGTCTTGTCTATAGACTAGTCTATAGTCTAGTTTATAGTCTAGTCTATAGACTAGTCTATAGTCTAGTCTATAGTCTAGTCTATAGTCTAGTCTATAGTCCTAGGTCTATAGTCCTAGTCTATAGTCTAGTCTATAGTCTAGTCTATAGTCTAGTCTATAGTCTAGTCTATAGTCTAGTCTATAGTCCTAGTCTATAGTCTAGTCTATAGTCCTAGTCTATAGTCTAGTCTATAGTCTAAGTCTATAGTCTAGTCTATAGTCTAGTCTATAGTCTAGTCTATAGTCTAGTCTATAGTCTAGTCTATAGTCTAGTCTATAGTCTAGTCTATAGTCTAGTCTATAGTCTAGTCTATAGTCTAGTCTATAGTCTAGTCTATAGTCTAGTCTATAGTCTAGTCTATAGTCTAGTCTATAGTCCTAGTCTATAGTCTAGTCTATAGTCTAGTCTATGGTCTAGTCTATAGTCTAGTCTATAGTCTAGTCTATAGTCTAGTCTATAGTCTAGTCTATAGTCTAGTCTATAGTCTAGTCTATAGTCTAGTCTATAGTCTAGCTCTATAGTCTAGTCTATAGTCTAGTCTATAGTCTAGTCTATAGTCTAGTCTATAGTCCTAGTCTATAGTCTAGTCTATAGTCTAGTCTATAGTCTAGTCTATGGTCTAGTCTATAGTCTAGTCTATAGTCTAGTCTATAGTCTAGTCTATAGTCTAGTCTATAGTCTAGTCTATAGTCTAGTCTATAGTCTAGTCTATAGTCTAGTCTATAGTCTAGTCTATAGTCTAGTCTATAGTCTAGTCTATAGTCTAGTCTATAGTCTAGTCTATAGTCTAGTCTATAGTCTAGTCTATAGTCTAGTCTATAGTCTAGTCTATAGTCTAGTCTATAGTCTAGTCTATAGTCTAGTCTATAGTCTAGTCTATAGTCTAGTCTATAGTCTAGTCTATAGTCTAGTCTATAGTCTAGTCTAGTCTATAGTCTAGTATATAGTCTAGTCTATAGTCTAGTCTATAGTCTAGTCTATAGTCTAGTCTATAGTCTAGTCTATAGTCTAGTCTATAGTCTAGTCTATAGTCTAGTCTATAGTCTAGTCTATAGTCTATAGTCTAGTCTATAGTCTAGTCTATAGTCTAGTCTATAGTCTGGTCTATGGCTAGTCTATAGTCTAGTTCTATAGTCTAGTCTATAGTCTAGTCTATAGTCTAGTCTATAGTCTAGTCTATAGTCTAGTCTATAGTCCTAGTCTATAGTCTAGTCTATAGTCTAGTCTATAGTCTAGTCTATAGTCTCGTCTATAGTCCTAGTCTTATAGTCTAGTCTATAGTCTAGTCTATAGTCTAGTCTAGTAGTCTAGTCTAGTCTAAGTCTAGTCTATAGTCTAGTCTAGTCCTAGTCTATCGTCTCGTCTATAGTTTCTTTAGGTTTTTCTCTAGTCTAGTCTATAGTCTAGTCTATAGTCTAAGTCTATAGTCTAGTCTATAGTCTAGTCTATAGTCTAGTCTATAGTCTAGTCTATCGTCTAGTCTATAGTCTAGTCTATCGTCTCGTCTATAGTCTAGTCTCTAGTCTCGGTCTATAGTCTAGTCTATAGTCTAGTCTATAGTCTAGTCTATAGTCTAGTGTCTATCGTCTAGTCTATAGTCTAGTCTATAGTCTAGTCTATAAGTTAGTCTATAGTCTAGTATAGTCTAGTCTATATCTAGTCTAGTCTATCTAGGTCTAGTCTCTGGTCTAGTCTATAGTCTAGTCTATAGTCTAGTCTATAGTCTAGTCTATAGTCTAGTCTATAGTCTAGTCTATAGTCTAGTCTATAGTCTAGTCTATAGTCCAGTCTATAGTCTAGTCTATAGTCTAGTCTATAGTCTAGTCTATAGTCTAGTCTATAGTCTAGTCTATAGTCTAGTCTATAGTCTAGTCTATAGTCTAGTCTATAGTCTAGTCTATAGTCTAGTCTATAGTCTAGTCTATAGTCTAGTCTATAGTCTAGTCTATAGTCTAGTCTATAATCTAGTCTATAGTCTAGTCTATAATCTAGTCTATAGTCTAGTCTATAATCTAGTCTATAGTCTAGTCTATAGTCTAGTCTATAGTCTAGTCTATAGTCTAGTCTATAGTCTAGTCTATAATCTAGTCTATAGTCTAGTCTATAGTCTAGTCTATAGTCTAGTCTATAGTCTAGTCTATAGTCTAGTCTATAGTCTAGTCTATAGTCTAGTCTATAGTCTAGTCTATAGTCTAGTCTATAGTCTAGTCTATAGTCTAGTCTATAGTCTAGTCTATAGTCTAGTCTATAGTCTAGTCTATAGTCTAGTCTATAGTCTAGTCTATAGTCTAGTCTATAGTCTAGTCTATAGTCTAGTCTATAGTCTAGTCTATAGTCTAGTCTATAGTCTAGTCTATAGTCTAGTCTATAGTCTAGTCTATAGTCCAGTCTATAGTCTAGTCTATAGTCTAGTCTATAGTCTAGTCTATAGTCTAGTCTATAGTCTAGTCTATAGTCTAGTCTATAGTCTAGTCTATAGTCTAGTCTATAGTCTAGTCTATAGTCTAGTCTATAGTCTAGTCTATAGTCTAGTCTATAGTCTAGTCTATAGTCTAGTCTATAGTCTAGTCTATAGTCTAGTCTATAGTCTAGTCTATAGTCTAGTCTATAGTCTAGTCTATAGTCTAGTCTATAGTCTAGTCTATAGTCTAGTCTATAGTCTAGTCTATAGTCTAGTCTATAGTCTATATAGGCCTAGTCTATAGTCTAGTCCTATAGTCTAGTCTAGTCTATAGTCTAATCTATAGTCTAGTCTATAGTCTAGTCTATAGTCTAGTCTATAGTCTAGTCTATAGTCTAGTCTATAGTCTAGTCTATAGTCTAGTCTATAGTCTAGTCTATAGTCTAGTCTATAGTCTAGTCTATAGTCTAGTCTATAGTCTAGTCTATAGTCTAGTCTATAGTCTAAGTAGTCTATAGTTTAGTTTGTAATCTGGTCTATGGGTGCATAATCTGAACTATTCGATATTATAGTTTAGATAATAGATCAAACAATATTCTGGACTATAGATCAGTCTATGGATTATTCTATATTCTAGATTAGTATATATCCTGGAGTATAGATATGTATATAGTCTGATCTATAAACTAGTCGATGGATCAGTCTATGTTCTGTACTATAGCTCTATAGCTATAGTAAAGTTCGGTCTAAAGTCTTAAGTATAGTTCAGTCTATATTTTAGATAATTCAATGTATATTTTGGACTATACCTCACTCTATATTCAATCAATATTTGATTTTTCTGTATCTAATAGATCGCTATTTTAAAATTTCTATAAAAACGTTATACGTACAATTTTATACTCAATTTTGGTAGAATTTAAAATTCTCAACAGCTTGCATTTTGTATTTTTAAAACAAAAACAATTCAATTGTCTGGCACTTGTACAATCTATTTAAAATTTATCAATAAAAATTATTTTCAAAATGAATTCAAAACTTGTGCTGCACTTGAAAGGCTTTTTTTCTTATAAAATAAAAACCAACCCTTTTTAAACAAAATACTACCGAAAAAACGACAATCAAAAACTCCTGAATTTGAATTGATTGATTATGTCGGTCCTTGACAGACAAAGGTTCAATGTATGCTTAAAAGTTTAATGTACTTTTTTAATTTTCCAAAAAAAATATTTAATTACAATTTACATGTTTTTAAAGAAATTTATAAAACTATAAATTTAAACAACCCTTGTAAGAGAATTATTTTTATGACATAAAACGTGATTAGGATCAGAAAAATGTGAAACAGGAATCAAACACGTTTCTTTTATATTAAAAAAAAAATAATAATAATTTATAGAAAAAACCAACGTTCAGACGTAACGCCTGGTCAACAACAAATATGTCGTTGAGCTCTTAAGTAACAAATGTTTTTTTATGATCATTAGTTCGACTTCTGTAGCAGTTTTTATTATTCTTTTGTTTTGTTTTGTTTTTTTTCTATTTATGGCTCGAGCGATTTTTGAACTTTCTTTTGTTGGTTTTTTGTAAAAATTGGCATGAAAATTCTAACCTTTAATTTAGTTTTATATAATTTGAAATATCCTGTTTCTAAAATTTCTAAAATTTTTAGGTTAATTTCTTTTGTTTTCATTTTTTCAGCTTGCGTGCCGATCAATTGGTTTACATCGGTCTTAGGGACATTGACCCTTATGAAGCCTACATACTCAATAAGCTGGGTATAAGAGCATATGCCATGGATGTAAGTAGTAAATTAATGAATGACGACTGAATATCCTTTTTGAATTGAATGCATACATGTATGCATGCATGTATGTGTGTTTGGTTTTATGTTAAGGATCAAATTTTGTAGTTACTGTGTGATTCAGGTTTTAATCACACGGGGTTTATATGTACGATCATCAGGACATATAGAACTATAACACGTACGAAGCCCAACAAACCACCCTTGTTTTTGTTATTACTGTAATAGTAGTAGTTATTGTTGTTGTTGTTGTTAAAACTGATCGCCAGTTACGTTTTTACAACATCTGTAACATTTTCAATAAAAGGCCGTTTGGAATACAAAAATCCATATGCCTTTTACCTTTAAAACAACAACAACAAATATTTCATTTTTCATATAGGAGGGGGAGATTTTTAGGGGTTGTTCTTCATTCTCTTTTGACTTTGTCAATATTTTTGTTTATAAATTTTTTTGTTTTAGGTACCACCAAAAAAATATCGCCCTTAGGGCTTTAGATTGCTTTTAATATTAGTTAAGGTAGGGTATGGTTCATTATTATTATTTTTGTTTTATTTTTATATTCGCATAATTTATCTTTGTATATTTTACATTTTAACGTTTTCCTTAGCTGTCACTATTAAATACATTGTTGAAAAATTTGTAAAAATAGGATTTATATTGGCTGTCTGGAGCGTAGTTAAACTCGTTAACATAAATTATTACCAAAAATTTAAATTTTGTAATTAATTTTTTTTTTATTATATAGAGACAACTGCCAAGTAAATAAGGGTGTAAAAAGGGATAAAATGTAAATGTGAAAGAGGTTTTCAATAGCCCTTAGTGTTATGAAAACATTTTACAAATATGTAGGAAATGTTGGATATAATAAGCTTATAGACTGATATATAATCCAGACTAAAGGCTCATCTATAGTCTAGATTATAGACTGACTACAGGTCAGTCTAAAATCTGGACTACAGATAAAGTCTGGCGTACAGATCAATCTAAAGTCTCGATTAGTGTATAATTTGGACTATATATAAGTCTGGACTATAGATTAATCTATAGTTTGGACTATAGATCAGTCTATAGTCTGGACTATAGATCAGTCTATAGTCTGGACTATAGATTAGTCTATTGTCTGGACTATAGATTAGTCTATAGTCTGGACTATAGATTAGTCTATAGTCTGGACTATAGATTAGTCTATAGTCTGGACTATAGATTAGTCTATAGTCTGGACTATAGATTAGTCTATAGTCTGGACTATAGATTAGTCTATGGTCTGGACTATAGATCAATCTATAGTCTGAACCATAGATCAAACTATAGTCTGGACTCCATATGAGAGTATAGTCTGGACTAAAGATCAGTCTATAGGCTAGGCTTTAGATTAGTTTATAGTCTGGACTATGGAATAGTCTAGTCTGGACTATCGATTAGTCTACATTCTGGACTATAGATTAGTCTATAGTCAGGGTTATAAATTAGTTTATAGTCAGGACTATAGATTAGTATATAGTCTGGACTATAGATTAGTCTATAGTATGGACTATAGATCAGTCTATAGTCTGGAGTATAGATTAGTCTGTAGTCTGGACTATAGATACATACGTCTATAGTCTGGACTATAAATTAGTCTACATTCTGTACTATATATTAGTTTATAGTCAGGACTATAGATTAGTCTATAGTCTGGAGTATAGATTAGTCTGTAGTCTGGAGTATAGATTAGTATGGACTATAGTTAAGTCTATAGTATGGACTATAGATAAGTCTATAGTATGGACTATAGATCCGTTTATAATGTGGATTATAGATCAGTCTATAGTCTGGACTATAGATCAGTCTATAGTCTGGACTATAGATCAGTCTATAGTCTGGACTATAGATCAGTCTATAGTCTGGACTATAGATCAGTCTATAGTCTGGACTATAGATCAGTCTATAGTCTGGACTATAGATCAGTCTATAGTCTGGACTATAGATCAGTCTATAGTATGGACTATAGATCAGTCTATAGACTGGACCATAGATCAGACTATAGTCTGGACTACATATGAGAGTATAGTCTGGACTAAAGATCAGTCTATAGTCTAGGCTTTAGATTAGTCTATAGTCTGGACTATGGAATAGTCTAGTCTGGACTATCGATTAGTCTACATTCTGGACTATTGATTAGTCTATAGTCAGGGTTATAAATTAATCTATAGTCAGGACTATAGATTAGTATATAGTCTGGACTATAGATTAGTCTATAGTATGGACTATAGATCAGTCTATAGTCTGGAGTATAGATTAGTCTGTAGTCTGGACTATAGATACATACGTCTATAGTCTGGACTATAAATTAGTCTACATTCTGTACTATATATTAGTTTATAGTCAGGACTATAGATTAGTCTGGACTATAGATACATACGTCTATAGTCTGGACTATAAATTAGTCTACATTCTGGACTATATATTAGTTTATAGTCAGGACTATAAATTAGTCTATAGTCTGGAGTATAGATTAGTCTGTAGTCTGGAGTATAGATTAGTCTATAGTATGGACTATAGATAAGTCTATAGTATGGACTATAGATCAGTTTATAATGTGGATTACAGATCAGTTTATAGTCTGGTCTATAGATCAGTCTATTGTCTGGACTAGAGATCAGTCTATAGTCTGGTCTATAGATTAGATCAGTCTATAGTCTGGACTATAGATCAGTCTATAGTCTGGACTATAGATCAGTCTACAGTCTGTTCTATAGATCAGTCTATAGTCTGGACTACAGATCAGTCTATAGCCTGGTCTATAGATCAGTCTATTGTCTGGACTATAGATCAGTCTATAGTCTGGTCTATAGATCAGTATATAGTCTGGTCTATAGATCAGTATATAGTCTGGTCTATAGATCAGTCTATAGTCTGGACTATAGATCAGTCTATAGTCTGGACTATAGACCAGTCTTTAGCCTGTATACTCTTTAGTCCCATTATATTTTAGTCTATAGTTTTGCCTATTATTTAGTCTGATTATTACTTAGTCTATATATATATAATAGTCTTTTATTAAAATATGATTTTGTACCTTCATTCCAATTGTTCTTGCCTCTTGTTAATCAATTTCTTTTCCTGTTTCCTTTACAGTCTGTCGATAAATATGGCATTGCTAAAATTATGGAAATGACCCTCGACGCTTTGGATGTCAATAATAAAATTCATGTCAGTTTCGATGTCGATGCCTTGGATAGTAAAGTGGCTCCCAGTACCGGTACTGCTGTCTATGGTGGTTTGTCTTTGCGTGAGGGCATTTTCATAGTGGAAAGTTTAAGTGAAACAAAACGTGTTCAAGGTATAGATTTGGTAGAACTGAATCCCAGCTTAGGCAATGCTCAAGATGTTAAGACTTCAGTATCGGCTACCATGGAAATTTTGAAAACTATATGTGGCGGTCATAGACGTAGAGGAAATTTTGAAAATATCGATGAAAGTCTGGTGAAAATTAAAACGGAATGAAGTGAAATTGATGAAAAATATAATGAGAAAAAATGTTTAATAAAAAAAATAAAACTGCCTTAATGTAGAATTTTTGTTATAAATTTTATTATTTATAATAATTTTTATTATTACCTGTTTTGTTAATAAAACACTTTGGGGAAAAACAATTATAGAAACTCGGAGATTCTTTGGATTTAGGGAGAGATTTTTATTTATTCCTTGAGATTGCTATTGGCGGGCAGTATAGCGGTTACCTGGGCTGACATTTTATTGGCATTACTTATTAAATCATTGGTTACGACTACTGGTGTAGGTACCGCGACTGGAGTGGCAGCCAAAGGACTATGCTCGGGAGTTTCCTTAAGACGTTTGTGTAAAAGTTGAGGAGCAAAGGTTTGCAAAAGAATTTTTTGCAGATTTACCAAAACATAATTTAAAATGCCTAAAATTTTTAACGTTAAAAGGAAATTTGGACATATTATTAAATCCTTAACAAAAACCTACCTGATATAACTATAATACCCGCTATTATGGAGCATAAACGTATTATAAATTGTATTAAATTATCACGATCAGTGCGCACTATGATTCTCAAAGCCGACCAATCATATTTGAAATAAATACCCGGATTGCCATAGGAATTTTGTACAGGATCTGCATATAATTTCCGCGCAACAATAAAATCTAAAGAAATTTTGATAAAAATAAAAAGAGAACTTACCCAATACTCTTTTATTTTCCGTAACAGAATACTGATAAGTGTTGATGGTGGAAAACGTGTTGTGTATTTCGGTGGGTACAATATTTAAGAAATATTGTACGGTGGTTTCCTCCTCTGTTATATAAACCTCATCTCCCTCTAAGGGCTGCACTATATGCTTCGAATATTGACCAAAACTTAAACGATTTATACGATGTGTAAAATTTGCTGGCATACGACGAAAACCAATCATTAAATGGTCCCCAAATAGATCTACTACGGGCATGGCTCCTCCTACCAAATGCAAAACTCCCGCCACCTTATTAATACCCAAAGTACCATGTAAACGACAAGCATCATATTGATCCTCGGGCACTGGTTTGCCATTATCCCCTAAAGGCTGTTCATGAGCCTCATTACTCTTAATCATATCCTTAAAAAGGATATCAGCTATGGAATGATATTGTTCACGACGATAATGATTCATATATTGCTGTCGTTCGAACTCGATACGTTCGTCCGGTGACATTTGCCACCATACACCTTGACGTTGTAAGGTACCATAGGCAAATACATCCTGTTGAGTTTCATCCATTAAATCCACCCCGGAGAGAGAGGAACAGGGCATGGCCACTGTTATATCGACATGCATTTGCACCTTTTCCGTATCTATATCCGGTTCAAATTGATATTTTAATTTGGCATCTTTATAGTATAAAACTTCTT